AAGGAAGAAAGAGAGAGAGAAAGGAAGGAAGACAAGAAAGAAAGAAAGAAAGAAAGAAAGAAAAGGAAGGAAGAAAGAAAGAAGAAAGAAAGAAAGAAAAAGAAAAGGGAGGGAAGGAAGGAAGGAAGAAAGAAAGGGAGAAAAGGGAGAGAAGGAATGAAAGAAGGAAAGGAAAGGAAGAAAGAGAGAGAAAGGAAGGAAGAAAAGAAAGAGGGAGGGAGGGAAGGAAAGAAGGATAAAAGGAAGGAAGAAAGGAAAGAAACAAAGAAGGAAGAAAAGGAAAGGAAGGAATGAAGAAAAGAGGGAAGAAGAGGGATAGAAAGAAGAAGAGAGGGAGGTAGGGAAAGGAAAGAAGAGAAGAAACGAGAAGGAAAGAGAGAAGAAAAGAAAATGAAGTCATTAGGAATAAATTATTTATATAAAATACAAATAAATTAGGAATAAATAAATTTCAGTCATAGCAGCAATATTTGTGCTTTGAAACCAGGAATAAGTCAGAAAACGGCAGATGAACTGACCCGTTTTAAAAGAATTCTGTGTTGTTTTCTGCTTTTTAGCCTTGATAACTGAAGTGATTCCATCTCACTTTCTAGAAATTTAGTTATGCTTTCCACCTGAAAAGAGGGGAAAAAACCCCTGCTATGTCAGCAATAACATATTAATAATGTAATGATAATATATTATTGTTTCAATTTATATTAACCCAATTCTGGTTTCATAGCTAATACAATTTTTAAAATGAAAGTCATTAACATGTATTGGAAAGAGTTTCACAACATACCCCCATCCTATTAATTGCATGTTTAATAATTTTTTCGTTAATTTTTCAGGTTTAGTTTGGTTTTGGGGTGGGAAATGGTTTTGAATATATTATATGCATATTTCAGAGGTGTCAGGGAACTAATTAAAAGTGAAAACGTACTTAAAATGGAGGAAGAAAGAGATTTCTTTTCAGTGGCCTGACAACACAGCTAGACTTTTAATTCTTTCGTTTGACTTTGTCAGACCCTTGACAGAAAGACTCAGGATTGGGTTAAACATTTTACAGAGCTCCCAGATTCATATTAACAAGAACAAAGTTGCAGTCAAAGTCAAAAATGCTTGAGCCTTCAAAAACACACTGAACTCTAATTGTTAGTGCCTATAGATATTTGTTGTGGGCCCACGCAAATATTTCAGTCATTGCATAGTGGGGAACAAATTCTGTTGGTCTGACTTTAATGTCCCCACAGTTCTGTGGGATTGTGTATGGAGAAAAATTTCCAGAGACAATAAAACAGTTAAATATATTGTTGTCTTTCTTATTGCCATTATAATGTAAATTAACATGTATATTTATTATAATAATATATCACACGCTGCATATTTTATTACATATTAATGTGATCCTTATATATGCTTATCTAGAATAATATCATATAGAATCTATACATAATAATAGTAATTCTCTATATTATTATCAATCTTACATTGCTATTTGAAACAATAAATAAACCCTCAAAATTTTTCACACTTTGTCCTTGTCTCTTACTACATTCTGGGGGTAGTTCCTCAAATAATCAGGACGGAGGATAACTACATTGATTTTTAATTTTTCAACAGTATTTTCAGGGAGGTTTGCTGGTAATTTTAAAGTTATTTTTAAAAATTCAATTATATTTTATTTTCAGTTTCAAGTTCTCTCCTTCCCTCACCCCCCAACTGTTGAGAAGACAAATATATTTTTGATCATACAAACTAGAAAAATTATCTAATTCACCAAAAATATTTTATGAAAATAATTTTCTAGGAAGAATCATGTGTTCTTATTTGAGGCATTTTGAAGGTTTGGTTTTTGCCTTTGTTTTTTGCTTACTTCAAGGTCCAGTTCAACTCCTTCCTCTTCTGCAAAACCTTCAAATAACTCTCCAGGCTCATTTGACAGATAAGCACAGTTTTGATATCTTAGAATCAAAGATCAATTACAGTCTTACTCACCTTCTCATGGATTTACTTTTTTTTCTTTTTTTCAATTGGACTGTAAGGTCCTAAAGAACAAGATTATGTTTTCTTATTTTTTTTTTGGAAGCAATCTGGGTTAAATGACTTGCCCAGGGTCACACAGCTAGTTAAGTAAGTGTCTGAGGCAGGATTTCAGTTTAGGTCCAGGGCTGGTGCTCTACCCACAGCGCCACCTAGCTGCCCCTGTTTTATTGATTCAAAACCCATAGAATTTTCAAACTGAAACCTCAGACATCATCTAGGCTGGCAGTTCTTAAAATGTGGTCTGAGGTCTGAGACCTGGTCCTTGGACTGAGGTCCAAGACCTTTACAGGAAATGCATGAGGCTAAAGCTATTTTCATAATAACACTAATATGTTATTTGCTTATTAAAATGCCCGTTTTCCAATTCCATATCTATGGAAGGCCAGATTTTCTTATAAACTTTGACCAAAAGAATGTATTGTGATGGATTGAATATAGAAGAGATAGGAGAATCCAGCTGCCTTCTATCAAACCAGACATGAAAGAAATTTGCAAACCTATGGAAAACAGTGCTACTCTTCTCCCCAAATTTTTGGTTTTGGAAAATAATGGTTATATTTCATTAAAAAATACATAATTTATGTTAACATATAATAGGTTTATTGTTATTTTAAAGAATAAAGAGTTTAAAATTTATCAGTTTTAATTTTGAAAACAGTAAACATAAATATAACCCACCTAAACAAAAAGCGCTTTGGGGTCCTCAATAATTTTTAAGAGTGGAAAGAGGTCCTGAGACCAAAAAGGTTGCGAAGTCTCAATCTAGTTTCACAGCTTTTTTGTATCCCCTTCAGTGTCTAACACAATGCTTTTCCCATGGCAGACATTTTTTAAATATTTGCTAACTTGAAAGCAAATATGAAGACAGAATGTGTTCACATAGCAGCCAATATCTTTGCTGTAAATGAAATAAATGAACTGTCAGAGATGTTAAAGGGAGGTGGTATAAACTCCTTGAGGGCAGGCACTGTTTCATTTTTCCACGTAGCTAGTTGGCAGAGTGGATAAAGCGGACCTGGAGTCAGGAAGATCTCAGTTCAAATCCTACATCAGATACTATTGTGTGACCCTAGGTAAGGCAAATCATTTCACCTATGTATGACTCAGTTTCCTCATCTATTAAATGGGGATTAAAAATAGCACTTAACTTTCCAGTGTTGTAAGGATAAAATTAGATAATTGTAAAAGCTTTTAAACCTTAGTAAAGGGCTATATAAATGCTGACTGTTGTTTTCATTATTTTTTATCTTTATATTTTTTATTTATAGTTTTATATTTTCTCTTTATATCTTCATTTTTAATTTATAGTTTTATATTTTCTCTTCATATGTAGGATCAGGAAAGGCATCTTGTAGGAAATACCTGAGTTGAGACTTGAAGGAAGTTAAAAATTCTAAGACATGAAGTGAGGAAGGATTGCATCCCAGGCATGAAGAATAATCTAAAAGCACATAGGTGGGAGATGCAGTGCCTTATCAGGCAACAATGAGAAGGCCATTTTGGCCAACCACAGAATCATGAGGAATGGTAGTATGAAATTAGCATGTAAGAAGAAAGAGTGGATCCAAACTGCGAAGGGTTTTAAATGTCAATCTGAGGATTTTATATTTATACTAGAAGCAATAGGGAATTACTAAAGATTCTTGAGCAGAGAAGGACATGGTCAAACCTGTGCTTTTGGGAGACTGTTTTGATAGCCAGACAGAAGGATGGATGAGGGAAAGAAAGGTCAGAAGAAGGGCATATAAGTAAAAAGCTATTGTTGCAATAGTCCAAGTGAGCGATGATGGGAACTTGATCTACGCCATGGGCTGTATGAATGGAGAGCAAATAGATGTAAAAGATGCTGTAAAAGTAGACTTAGCATCTAATGAGATGTGAAGGAGACGGACATTGAACAGTTGAGGATGACTCCTAGGATGCATACCTGGATGACTAGATTCTGGAAAGCAATTTAGAACTATGCTCCCAAAGGTACCAAACTGCTCATACTCATGACCCAGCTCTATGACTTCTAGGACTATACCCAAAGAAATCATAGAGGAAAAGGACCTATATGTACAAAAATATCTTTGGCAGCTCTTTTTCATGGTAGTCAAATATTGGAAACCAAAGGGATGTCTTCCTATTGGGGAATGACTAAACAAACTTTGGTACATGAAAATAATGGACTATAATTGTGCCATAAGAAATGATTAAATGGAGAATTTCAGAGAAAACAGGGAAGACCTCTACGAATGGAGATGAAATATGCAATTTGCCTCCTGCCAGAGAGGTGATGAACTTAAAATGCAGAAACACACATTTTTGGACACAGCCAATGTGAGACTTTTTCTTGCCAGACTATGATGGTATATTTAGATTTTTTTTAATGTGCTCAATTGGGAGAGAATGTAACAGGAAGAACAGATTCATAAAATTTAAAAAACTGAATTTAAATATCTGGATGGTTAGAAGTATTGTAGTGCCTTTAGTAAATAAAGACATTTCCAAGAAGGGTGAATTTAAGGGGATAGGTAAGAACTTATCTTTGTGGACATTTGGATTTTGAGAAGCCCTTCAGGAGGTTGGAGCTCAAGAGAGTTTTTGTCATTGTTAGTCATTTCAGTTGTGTCCAATTCTGGGTGAACCCATTTGGGATTTTCTTGGCAAAAAAGTTTGCCATTTCCTTTTCCAGCTCATTTCATAGATGAAAAAACTGAGGCAAACAGGGTTAAGTGACTTGCCCAGGGTCACACGGGTAGTAAGTGTCTGAGGCCAGATTTGGAATTCATGAAGATAAGTCTTCCTGACTCTAAGCCCAGCACTCCATCCACTGCACTACCTAGCCACCCCCAAGAGAGAGTAGGGCTAGATATATAGATTTGGGAATCATCTGAACAGAAATGATACTTGAACCCATGGAAACTGACAATAAGATCATTGGGAGAGGGTGTGTACACAGAGAGAAAGAAAAGGGTGCTTAGAACAGAATGTTAAGAGACAAGTACAGTGAGGGGGAAGGATCTGGAGTTTTACCCAGCAAAGGAGAAGGAATAATCAGACAAGGTAGGAGGACAACATGAAGAGTTGAAGAAGCAGATTCATAGGGTGAGGGGGTAGTCAACTGTGTCCAAGGCAGTAGAAAGATTGAGAAGGAGGATGACTAAGAAGAGGCCAGATTTAATTACTAAGAAATCATCTGTAACCTCAGAGAGGGTGGTTTCCACAGCGTGATAGGATCAGAAGACCAATTATAAGGAGATCAGGAGTGAGAGGTAGAAAAGTAGAGGCAAGGAACAGACAGCTTTTTTCTAAGAGTTTAATAATGAAATGGAAGAGAGGGATAGGGGATGATACCTTAAGAGAGGAGAAGGGTCAAGTGAGGGGTTTTTTTTAAGAATGGTGATGACCTGAGCATGTTTATAGGCAACAGCCAATGGATAAAGAGAGTGTACCCTGTGCCTGGGGAAGGGGTGGAAGCTTCCAGAGGGGAAGGGAGGAGATGGAATGATGAGATAAAGGGCAGAAGTAGAAGGGTTAGCCTTGGCAACGAGAAGAGGTACATCTTGTCAGAGATTAGAGCAAATAAGAAGAGACTGGGAGATGACATAAAAAAAGTTTTGAGGTGTAAAATGGAGGAAAGAGGTCACCTTATCAGTAGAGTTGCTCTGCGAAGAGGGCAACAGGGGCAGGTTAGGAGACCTAATAGGGGAAAAGAGGTTTTAGAATAGCCATTGCAAGAGAGTGTGATTGTCAATTAGGGCAGAATAAAAAGGCTGTTTTGCAGCCATGAGTGTTCAGTTGGGGTTAGATGACATAAATTTGTAGTGGATTAAGTCGGCACTGTAGTATGACTTCTTCCAAGTGCTTCTCTCAAGCTTTCTGACCGGAGCTCATTTGTTCCTCCTTAGGCAACCTGATGCTTTGTCCCACCTCTACCCCCGACCCTCAGGCCTCACAATATTAAAGCCAAACGTAGTGCAGGCACAAGATGGATACCACCCACAACAGTTCAGAACTGCTGAATTTAAGAGGTCTACCAGCATCAGCCACCTCAGGAACTGGGATTACCAGTGTGTGCCACCACCAACTGAGTACTCTTTTCCCATACTTTTCAAATGTATTCTACAGTGTGTCAGAGGCAGAGCTTAAGAAGAAGATAAGAAAGTACTGACTCACAAGTTAGTCAGTTAATATTCTATTATAGACAGGTTACTCATAATCATTTATGTTTTCCTCTGTACATTGCGTTGCTATATTTTGCCACATTGATATGTACCATAAAAAGGATCACGACTCATTCTTCTTATTGGATTCAATTGGTAGCACACCGATTAGTGTATTTCCTGCCAAATTATGATAATTTATACTTTTTCAAGGTATAAAAAAGGTAAATCTAATGGAGAATTCTTTCACATATCCCTGTTTGTGTACCAAGATAGGGAGATGGACAGATACAACATTGGTACTAAGAATAATACACACAGCAAAATACACTTTCCTAATAACCCAATTTGATGGAAACTGAGTCTTACACTCAATTTATTTAGCATATAGTCATGGCCAAAATCCAAAAGGCTTCTCAAGGCCCTTAAATTTCCAGACTAAATTTCATGGATAAGAATAAAAGCAATTCAACAGGAAGATGTCCACAAAGAAAATCTGTAAATAGATCACAAGGAAATATAAGCAGAAATTTAACAAAACAACTGGTCTTATTATGAAACACAAAACTTACATTAAAAGAAAATCAGTGGGAGGTTTTTTGTAATAGTATAATTCTCTAATTTTTTTTGAAAGGAAATAAATTTCACCAAAAGACTTGTAATTTGAAGGTTTTTAATTAGAAGAGAAGGGATAGCTGTAGATATAGCTGCATTCAGATAGATGTATTGAAAATATATGAAGGGCTGTCAAACAAAAAAGGGGTTGGACTTATTTTGCTTGGCCCTAGAGGCCAAAAATAGAACCAGTTTGTAAAAGATGCAGAGATAGGTTTTAGCTCAATGTAAAGAAAATCTTCATAACAGTTAAAGGTATGAGGTAGTAGGTTCCACTTAACAAAAGACTTTCAAGCAAAGACCACTTGCTGGGGATGTTGTAGAATTATGGGGATGTTTTTGAATTATGCGTTGGAGTAGATAGCCACTGAGGTCCATCCATTCCAATTTGGAAATACTGTGATTATAACTGTCACTTCTACTCCTTCCCCAATTTTCCTCTTTTCATCCAAGTGAATAGATTTTCACCAGCTCCTTTAAGATTACGGGGAATAGGATGAAGTGTTGATTTGATTCTGGAGTGAATTTGAAGAGTCTGAATAGCCAAATTGGACAATTAAGTTAAATATATTGTTTTCCTCCTCTTCTCAAGAGGCTTTTGCTTGATTGATGTTGAGATGACATCTCATTTTGTGTGGTTCCCGCCTAGGAATATTAATTTTATTTTCAAAAACAAAATCACTAGATATTTCAAAAAGATACCTTTCTTCTTTGAATTGGGGAAGCATTCCTGTTCTTCTTTGATTGCTGGTCTATAAGACTTTATCCGACAAAAAAAGGACCGTCTTGCGCCAGAATACAGATGAGCTGTTCCAGCAGGGAAATTTGCTTGAACTTGAAAGCCAGCTTTCACAACACATATGGGCGAGAGAATTCGTCAGAAAAAATGTTTTCAAGGAATAATGAAATTTTTGTTCCCTAACACTTTTAACCACTTTTTACATTTCTCTGTTAACAGTAGATGAAAAAAATTGCCTTTGTGCTTTAATGTAATAACAGCCAAATATTAACAAAATGCAACATAGATCCCAAAATGGCTATTACGAGAGAAATCTATTCTAATTTTATGTAATCTCATTTTGAATTTTAAAAGATTTCATTTTTTTCTTTGAATTAAAATTTTTTGAAGTATAGAAGGAATAATTAGTTGACATCTATAAATATATTTCAAATGTGAAGGGAAAAGCTCCCAAGTAAATACATAGCAGTGATCAGCTGAAAAAAAAAACCACCTAGTTTTTTGCCCATTCCATATTTTGCCATCATTTTCATACTTCAGGGATCTATGATTTCATCAGTGTGGAGCCTCTCTCCACTGACACAGATTATGATTAATTAAGGTATAAGTCAAGTGATGTATAAGATACACTAATTAACTTGATCGTGAGCCTGTTTAATGACTTGTTTTGACCAAAATAATAATAAATCATATGGTAACCATATTGCAGGTGAGGAGGCTCCCTGAATTTAGCCAAGCTGCTCTTCACACAACTTATAGTCTATCACCAAACCCTGGATACAAAGCCTTTCTGGTTTGATAAGGTCTGCTAATGTTCTACTGGCATAATCTTTGAGAACCCATGGTCACTGCCATAACAAGATGAGGCATCAGAAGAGATCTTTGGTAGAGGTGTTCTTTTCTTTCCTTCCCTGATCTCTCTCTCTCTCTCTCTCTCTCTCTCTCTCTCTCTCTCTCTCTCT